TGAAACTTTTGTGTGAGACAGTGGAGGTTAGAGAAAGTGTAGGTTACAATGTTGTAAGAATAAATAATAAATATGCACAAGAAAGATGGCATTCAGATAATCGAATAAAGCAGTGTAGGAGTCAGCCGATATATCCAGTGATAGGGAATCAGAAAGTTAAGGTATGTTAAGGAAGACCGTGTGTATTCTGTAATGGTGATCATTTTAATAGCGAATGCACGGTGTGTGAGACATTAGAGCAAAGAATGAGAAAGTCATATGAGTTGAAGATATGTATAAAGTGCTTAAGACCGGATCATTGACTTTAAAGATTGTAAAGCAGTCAAAAGATGCTATTATTGCCAGAATAATCATAACAGCGCATTATGGGACAGATTTGGAAATCAGCCGAATAAAGAACGGACGCGGGGAGCATCGTCTTTGGTGGTAAAGCAAAAAGAAACGTCCGCCCAAGTAGCTAATTTTAAAACAGACAGTGTTTTTAATGATGAAAGCATATTACTTACGATGGAAGCAGTGGTAGGAAACCCGGTGAGAAAGGAGTTAACCTCAAAAGTTTACCTCTTGTTGGACAGTGGCAGTCAAAGATCGTTTATGACGGAACGCTTGGCCAAAACTCTAGAGGTGCCTATAATCACTAATGAAATATTAATTTTACACACATTTGTCGCCACAGATTCTATACAGTACAGAGCACCTAAATCGGAAGTAGAGATACAAATGCGCGATGGGGAAAAGAAAAGAATACGTCTTAATGTTATAAGGGAAATGACCACTAAGTTGAGGACGCGTGTAGAGAATAACTCGAGAAAGACATTGTCGAGTCGTCCCGTGAAGTCAGATATTCTGATGGGGTAGATTGTTGCTGGGAGTTCACCGACATAGGACTTAAGAAAACGGAAGATGGGTTTTTTGTGGTCCCTACTAAATTAGGAGAAATCGGAACAGGTGAAGGAAAGAGTGCTATAACGAATGGGAATGTAAAGAACAATGTTATAATGTGTTGCACGATTAAAAAAGCGGTACAGTCATCCTGGGAATTAAAAGATTTAGGTATAAATGAATCACCCACAGCAACAGATGATGACGACGCTCTAAAACAATTTTATCAGACTTTAGAAATTAAGAATAACCGCTATATTGTCAGCTGGCCTTACCAGAATGTAGAAAGGCCTGTGTCCGACAACTACCAGCTAAGCTATAATAAGATGAGAAGTGTATTCAATCGTTTGAGTAGGGAGGAACTAGTAGAAAAGTACGATAAGATTATACAAGACCAAATGACAAATAATATTGTCGAGAAAGTTGAGGATAATCAATCAGTCAACAGAGTTTCTTACCTACCACATAACCCAATACTAATACCAAGTGAACAAACAACCAAATTAAGAATAGCGTACAACGCATTGGCGAAGTCATTTAAAGATACGCTAAGCCTTAACAAGAGTCTATATAGAGGTTCAGTAATGCTACCGGAGCTGTGTGGAATGTTGCTAAGATTTCGTACCTACAAGTATGAAGTAATTGCTGACATAGAAAAGGCTTTCTTGCAAATTGAGTTGCATGATCAAGATCGCAACATAACCAGAATTTTATGGCTAAAGGATCCAACCAAGGAAATAACCCCGGACAATTTGGTGATATACCGCTTCCGAAGAGTTCCATTCGAGATTATTTCCAGTCCATTTTTGTTAACGGCAACCATGACGTACCATCTGAAGGAGGAAGTCGCAGAGGCTCAGAGAGAGGAAGATGAAAGGCGTGCCAGTCTTATGGAGCAATTGATGAGTCAGATCTACGTAGATAATCTGATTACAGGAGGTACATGAGTATTTACAAGTAGTTAAAGAAGTTTTCAACAAAGCATCTCTTATTATGAGAGCGTGGGCCTCAAGCGTTCCCAAGTTTCAGGAGTACCTACCGGAAATTGATAAGGACAAAGAACAAAAACAAAAGGTTTTAGGAAGAACTTGGCAATAGTCAGAGGATAAGTTAGAGTTAAGCTTTTTTAAGGCTGTTAGAGACAATGAACCACTAACCAAGCGTACGATACTGTCACGACTGGCTCAGAATTATGACCCTCTAGGCTTACTAGCGCCGGAAAACTTGAGAGCTAAGTTTTTGGTGCAGACACCATGGAAGAAATCTTTCTCATGAGACAATCGATTACCAAAGTAGAAAAGGAGTGGAGAAATATACAAAGAGAATGGAATGAACCAAAAGAGTTGTCAATCCCGAAGAGAGTGACGGAGAAAGGAAAGCCATTTGAGTATGAAATACATACATTTTTAAATGCTTCTGAGAGGGCCTACTCAGCAGTAGTCTATTTAAAATACAGGATAGAAGAGAGGTATTATCTGGAACTATTATTTAGTAAGAATAGGTTGTGTCCGGCAAAAGCCGTATCAATACCCAGACTGGAGCTTCTTGAGCTACTGATAAGGACACGGGCAACGTTGTATTTTAAACGGGAGCTGCACTTACAACTGATGCAGCAAACAATATGTCGCGACTGCAGTCAAAATTCTAAAATTTGGAGAGTCGTCCTCGTCAGCTTCTCTCCTATAGTGTCCTATGGGACCTTTCTAC